TCCAAGCCTCCATGACATGCCCTAGGGAAAATATATATACAGTTAATTAATTCCAGGCCTATATATACAACCAAACCAAGGTACTACTACTGCTGCATCTGCTTCTGCTTGTTGATGTCATAACTCGAGACCTATACAGTGAAGCTCCAGTCCCTAGATTATAGTTAGCCATATATACGGTATCTCACTGCATGAGTAACTACAGTCTGCTATATACTGCATCTGGTCCCAACCTTCGTTCACTTCACCAGCTAGCTCGGAAAATACTTGGCTTCGTACATGACTTGAAAGTGCTATGTACTCGTCTAATCTGTTCACTTGAATATATAACGTTGTTATATTATAAAATTAAGAAACTATCGCTTTTCATGGTGTTATTATTGACACTCAAAAAATCACATTGTACTCCAAATTCTTATGTTTAGAAAGAAAAAAAACAAATACTTTTATGAAGAGTGCACAATGCGGTTTAAAGTGCTAACAAAATCAATTTTTAAATATAGAACATTATTACATAATGTTAAATGGAAAAAATTTAGGGGCCCCTTCAAATTGGGGGTCATGTGCGACTGCACCTTTTGCTCCCCCTTAACGTCCCCTCTGGATCCCATCCAGATCCTCTTTGTGAGGATCCCGAATATCACTTCATCATGTTTGTTCATCTGTCATTCTGCAAACAGAAATTTTTTTGAATTTTTTTATTAAAATTGAACGCAAACAGTACTTGACGAAAACTAACCGCACAATATATGATAAACGAACACGATGAAATGATCTCCAAGATCCTCACTAAAAAGATCCCGAGAGAATCTTCATCCCATGTTAGGTGTACTACTGTAAGCCATTGCATGTTGGCGGTTGGCCCTTAATCCTTTCACGTTGTGTCACCCCTAAGGCTAGATGTGTACTTGGCCATTCCAATTAAGCTAGCCCTTCAAACTCACAATTCACATTAATGGCCTTTAATCCTTGTATGATTACCAACATTTTCCTTTGTTCCCGAGACTCCGTTATTTGATTCTCCCCTCACATAGACATATAGGTAAATACATGCGGGTTTAACGTTAATCACCTACAAACTTGACTACCAAAGAGGGTCCTTTAGGTGAAAAGCAACTTTATGCAACAGAATCACCATTACGCAGCACCTCAATTCAATAATGCATATCATACGACATGTGAGAAAAACTTACATATGGCATGTTTTACTAAATGGAATGCTACATGATGTTTATTGACAATGGAAATTGTACACCCTAAGACAATCAACTTGTCAATAAATAAAACCATAGTTGCAATTCTCATCGTTTTTAAAGAACAAATGTACTGTCTAAACAACAACTGTAAAATTGGTTATGTGCTCAATTATGTAACATGACAACTGAGATTAAGATTTACATCGAGACATCCAACTTTTTAGGAGAGAGAGCGAGAGAGACAGAATCCTTGGTATTTAAGTTGGTAGGTGGTAGTATTAATTTTATATATATATAGAAAGAAGAAAAGGTGAATAGTATTTTGGTATCACCAAGCTTTAACAAAAAATAATAGGACAAAAATACCCCTAAAACAAAAAACTTCAAAAGCATTTCAAAATAATGCATCAAATAAGGCAGTAGTTTTGTCATTTTAATAGTATTTTTTTTAATAATTAATTTTTTTGTGTGTGTGTGTGTGTGTGTGTGTGTTTTTTTTTTTTTTAATAATTAGTACCTCACAATAGGCTAACAAAAATGTGATTCAATTTCTTTATTTTTAAAGACGTTAAAAGAGTCTTAAGAGGCATGTAAGCCGGTTATAAAATGGTCCTCACACATGGGTAATAATATGATTAAATTAGTTGTCAAATGATTGTTTTTTCTTACACGTTCAAAACATCTTAAGAGGCGTGTAATGCTAGTTATAAAAAAGGTCATTCGCACGCAGATAATAATGTGATTAAATTAGTTGTCAAATGATTGTTTTTTTTTTTTTAACAAACGATATTATCTACACTAAAGGGGAGGGGGGTAGGCTTAGCCTCACAATGGACTAGTAATAATGTGATTCAATCAGTTGTTTGTTAAATATTATTTTCTCTATTTTAAACACGTTCAAAACATCTTAAGATGCTTGTAATGCCGATTATAAAAAAAAAAGTCTTTCGTACACGAATAACAATGTGATTACATTAGTTGTCAAATGATTTTTTTTTTTAACAAATGATATTATCTACACTAAGGGGAAGGGGGTGGGCTTAGCCTCACAATGAACTAGCAACAATATGATTCAATCAGTTGTTTATTAAAAATTATTTTCTCATGTTCAAAACATCTTAAGAAGCGTGTAATGCCGGTTATAAAAAATGTATTTCGCACGCGGATAATAATGTGATTAAATTAGTTGTCAAATGATTGTTTTTTTTTTTTTTTAACAAACGATATTATCTACACTACGGTGAAGGGAGTGGGCTTAGTCTCACAATGGGATATCAATAATGTGATTCAATCAAATTGTTTATTAAATATTATTTTCTCTATTCTTAATGTAAATTATATAAAGACCGATTTTATTATATATGTGAATTTAGCTGTTTTAATTGGTTCATGAGGGGTTTCTTCTAGCATGATTTAAGATTATTCATTTACTTCAAATATTTGGCTTTCCTTTTGTCAGTTTACTCATACAAATACATTTAAAACATGTAAGTCGTGCTTGGCATGTCGTGATTCAAAAAATGTCTTAAGCACGTGCATGAGCGCTAGTATATTAGAAAGTTGAAGGAAGGAGAAGTAAAATGTGGGTGTGGGTACAAACGAAAGTATCACCATCTGGCCAGCTTTGGTCGCATCCATGATCCATCACTTCTTTACCTTGTACTTGTGGCAACTTCACCTAAGTCTTTATTTTTCTGGCTCTTGTGGACACGAAAGTAAAATGTGGATGTGGGTACAAACGAAAGTGTCCCTCATTTTCCTATCAACTACACCTTGCATGCACAACCGACTAGTTTACCAAAAATGTAGGAAAATCACCTATTTTTCTTAACTTAAAAATAAAAAAAATAAAAAAAAATATTTATAAACTTGCCATGAGGTGGAATTGTGATGTAGACTTGAGATGTCAAAATTTATTATACTACCAATCACACCCACTCATATTGTCTCAACTTAATTGTCCTTGTATATCTTCAAAGGTATTAGTTTTCGTCACAAAATGTCTTTAGTACAACTATGATCGAGGAGAACGATTCAAACTGTTAAACCAGATAACTATAGATAATCGTCTGAATTGAATTAAAATCCAAACGCTTACTTTAAATAGAATTTTACTAGAAAGTATTGACAACACTTTCTATAATCATCAACCACCTTGTAGTTAACTGTTTTTTTTGTATTATTATTAAGGACAGAAAAACACAGGAAGTAATTACTTGTAGGCTTTTCAAGAGATGATGTTAGAAGTAAGGCTTTTGGAAGGTAAAGTTGAGGAATACTGGGACTCACCAGTCACCATCTGTTATTATATTCATATAAACTCCCCGCAAACTATTCATAGTACTATAATAGTTCTCTTTTATTGCAATACAAGATTTAGGGATGTTTTATCAGAATCCTCTGCAGATCATTTTGGTGAGGATTCTAGATATTTATAAATCGTGTCCGTTCATCCTACATCGTGCGGTCAATTTTTGTCAAGTACTGTTTATATTTATTTTTAAATAAAAATATTTAAAATGATTTGTGACCACATGATGTACCATGAACATACACGATTCACAAATTCCCGAGATTCTCACAAAAAGAATCTGATGAGGATTCGGACTCTTATTAGAGTAGTTCTCACATTGAGTAGAACGAGCATGAAGTTGAGTTAGACTGAAAAAATAACAATGGTCAAACATACATTTTTGTGTGACAGTGGTGTAACAAGCGATGTGGCCCTTACTAAGTAATTTTACACAAATTACAACAAGATTGGAAGTGCAAAAGTAAATATTCTTTATGGCATTTGAACTAAAAAATTATTTAGGAAGTTGAGCTGTTTTGTAGAATGTACCTTCTTTTTTTTTTTTTTTTTTTTTGTTTAGTTGATTAAAAATTTCATTCACCTAAAATATAACTACAAATGGTGTTTTCTACAAAAAAAAAAAAAAAAAAAAAAAAGCCTCGAATAACTAGTTGCTCTCAGTTCTTCTTTGTGACAGCGAAGATGGTGGTGACCGCATCATGGCAGTTAATGCCATTTCAGTTGTGGAGGTCCTCCACAACATTCTTCTTGATATTGGTGGCTTGAGTTGTAGTGTGGAGTTGGTGGTTATACGTTGGGTTTGGAGATGATGGTACGATGGGAGTGGTGGTGACTGTTAGTTGGTGAATGATGCTTCCATGACCTGCTATTGATTTTGGAGAGAAAATAACCCCTAGTTAATTAATAGATTTTTAACTGGGGTTTACAGATGTGTTGTTTTCAATAAGTTAGGTACTTGTTTGGAATGTGCAAAAAAAGTTGAGACTAATATGGAATGACACTAAAAGGTTGGAGGGTTTTAAATACTTAATCCTACTTTTAATTATCCTACTTGTTGTCCAATACTGCACCAAACGGCTTACTAAGTTAATCCAGTTAATCTATTTTGAGCCAATCCAACTCAAATCCTAGAATTAGTCTAGTTCGAGATAATCATGCAACATATGCACTCAAATCGTACTTCCGGATTCCAAAACAAAATCGGTATTAATTGGAATTACAGAAAGGCAGAAAGGCAGAAAGGTAAAGTAGAATTTCTCAAAACGACAGACAAACCTTGCGTTTTTGGCAACTGTCCCACAGAGGAAGAATCGCACGTTGTTTGTTATCCAGATCTTCGCAACGGCACCGTCGGCATTCCCTTTGTATTGTCACCCATTTACCCGTTCAATTTTACCCCAGTCGTCGGGACCACCAAAACAGTAACACAGTAACACCGTAACACGGTAAAATGTAATTCCAAGGCACCCCACCGGACCCACCCCAAACTTCTGTTTAATTTTTCCCTTTTTTATAAAACGAAATCTGAGCCGTCCAACAGATCACTCCCTCAACATCCCTCTCGGATCTCACACTTTCCACTCTCCCTTTTGAAAACCAAAAAAGGCAAAAAGGAGAGAAAGCACACACTCTGTGCGTGTGTGCGTGCACTGCTTTAACCTTCTCTTTACTCTGTAGAGAGAGAAAGGGGAGATAGTGAGATGGAGGACTGCAACTGTAAGCGAATGGCGGCCATGGACGACTCCACCACAGCAGCCGTATCAAAGAGGAGAAAGATCACTGCTTCAACGCCGCCATTGCCTCCATTGCCGCCAAGTCCAATAATGCTTCAGCTCCTCGACTCCCCCCATTCATGCTCCAGCTTTTACTCCGATCACTCTCCGCCTCCCTCCTCTTGCTGCTCCACCAACGATCTCAACGACGTCGCCGCCGCCCGTAGCTCGCCGCTCCTAGATCTGGAGGTGAATCCCGCCTCCATAGCTCGCACCGAGCTTCGAATTTCTCTTCCCCTTTCTTTCTGTTTGAAAACGAGGAGACAAATAGAGGAGAGAGAAACTAGCGAATGGAAAACTGTAATAGTTGATATTTCTCATTTCCGTTAGGATTTTCTCAGGAAACAAACAGACGCTTACTCTCTCTCTCTCTCTCTCTCTCTCTCTCTCTCTCTTCATTATCCTTCAATTTTACGTTTCTAAGATTTTATTGCAATGTTTGACATATTCGAATTTAAATTTCAAAATTCATTGCACCGTTTGCAGGCCAAGAGTTTCGAAACGGCATTCTCCAACTCGACCTCTATCACCAACAATAAATTCAGGTTTCACTTCTCATTCCTTCATCATAATTTCCCTCTTCAATTTCTCCAAACCGAAACGTATTTTTTTCAGGTTAATTTTTTGTTTCATCAGCAGGGAGACGACGCCGTTGAGCGAGCTGTCCCTGGACTCGAACGAAATGTCATCGCCGGCGCCGGTGGTGTCTCACCGGCGGAGAATCCCTGTCAGCAAATCGCCTCCGAGTGAAGAGATCGAAGAGTTCTTCGCCGCCGCCGAGAAGTACGAGCATAAGCGCTTTACAGAGAAGTGAGTACGTTTTTCACTTTTCCATTTTCTTTTCGTATTTTTTTAATTTTCCATTTTCTTTTCGTATTTTTTTAATTTTCCATTTCGTGTGCTGCACTCAACCGCCGGTGCATTTTAGCAGGAGACGGAAATCGGAAACCCTAACTAACAAACAGCTTTCCCCTTTTTGATCGGTTTCCAATTGGGTTCGGAATTTGGTGCAGGTACAACTACGATATCGTCAATGACGTGCCTCTGGAGGGTCGGTACCAGTGGGTTCGTTTGAAGTCATAAGTAGCTCTAGAGAGAGAAAGCAGATGAGAGAGAAGAGGATGGGAAATTACAATAAATTGACACTATGTAGAACAAAAGTAGCAATGCACCTTGTAATTTTATGCATGGAGATGGAGGTGGGAGCGGTGGAGGAGAGTTTGCTTACGACAGTTCATTTTTTCAGGAGTCAGAAAGACTCACAGGAGGGTTTGGAATTTGATCTGGGTTTTTAATGTTCGGGCTTCTCTTTTCTTTTTATGTGACTACAAAAACAAATGGAAGCTTCTAATTCTCTGCAAATCCTCCCAACTTTTTTAATTATTTAAGTTCTAATATTATTATACACTTTTGCAACAATTTTCCAGATTTGGATTCCCCCATTACCAACATTTGGTAATTACTTATTTTTTGCTTTTAGCTTTGGAAGACAAGGGATTTTTGTTTGGGTCTGTTTTGGGATTTTGTGGCTGTTTGAATCTCTCTCAAAAATTTTCTTTGTTTCCTTTTTCTATCAGTTGTTTAGCTTTTTTTTTTTTTTCTGGGTAAATTACACTTTCATTCCTCAAGTTTGAGGTCTATTTCAATTTTTTACAACATCTTCAAAACATTTCACTTTCATACCTTAAGTACTATTTTATTTCAAAATAATACATCCATTACATTTTTTCATCCATTGATCTATTAATGCTGCCAGCTGGCTGCCAGATGGCTGCCAAATGTCTGCCACGTGGCAACTAAAATAATTTTTTAATTTTTTTTTTAAAAACTTGAATTTTCTCAAAAAAAGAAAAAAAGATGAAACCCACCTGCCCCCCTTGGGTCAGGATCTCGTGATTTTCAGTATGGATGGGTTTTGAAAATACTTTGAGTTTGAGATGATTTTTGGACTGGTTTTGTGGTAGATCCACCTAATCTCGAGAATTTTTGTGGGTGATGGGGGACTTTTGGGAGGGGTGATGGGGGATGGGAGAAAGGGGTGGCTCGGGTGGGACGAACTGGGGCTTTTTTTTTTTCTCCCTCTTCTTCTTCTTCTTCTTCTTCTTGCAGGTTTTTGGGTTCTGGGTTAGGGTCGCTGGGGGGAGGGGTCCCGGTGGGGGAAGGCACTGGTTCCAATTTTTTTTTTCTTTTTTTGAGAAAATTTGTCACATGGCAGACATTTGGTAGCCACGTGGCATATATGTGGCAGCCACGTCAACATTTAACAGATCAATGGATGAAAAATGTAACAGAGGTATTATTTTGAAATAAAATAGTACTTAATCTATGAAAGTAAAACGTTTTAAAGATGTTGTAAGGAATTGAAATAGACCCCAAACTTGAGGTATGAAAGTGTAATTTACCCGTTTGCCTTTCTTATCCTTTGTTTTTGCGTTTGGGGGGTTTCTAGCTTTCCAAATATGTTTTTCATGTAATGGTAATGATTCCTTATGTTGCTTAGAGCGGGGACCAAACTAATTATAACTTGGTTACCAAGCTGCCACTCAATACTATGGTCTAGTGATATTCCTTTTCACTAATAAGTGAAATGTTTTCAATTCTTACCAAAGACGAATTTGAACCACATTATTACTAGCAATGTGAGGTTTAGCCCACTCTCCCTTCCTCACCCCCTTAAATAATATAGTTTGTTCAAAAAAAAATTTGGCTTCTCTTTTTACCCAAAAAATAAATAAATAAAATTGACCTCTCATTTTAGAAGAGTCATCTACAACTCCTCTAACATGTGACATCTTATACTAATAATGTATTTCTTATATATAATGTATTGTATTAGTGACTCGAGACGTCAAAAAGACATTTCAATCACTCCACTCGCCGGCTCATGTGAATGTGGATTAACGAATTCGTTGTTGGAAATTTATAAGGCTAGAATTGTTCAAGATTTTGAATATTTTAAGATATAAACTATTTGGGCAAATTAAAAACACAAAGATTCATCTAAATGTTTTATATAATTATAGGTTTTGGCTTCTCTATTAGATTCCTAGAGATAAAACAAAGTGAAAAGGATGAGCTACCTCTACTAGGAGTACTAGAGCGGATTGCAGTCTACCAACTCATTCTACCAAATTTTAAGGGGAGCTTTAACTAAACACTTTTTGGTACTGTTTATTTTTAATGAAAATAACATTTTTACTCTAAAAAGTCACTCATAGTACTATTCACATACAACACATTTTTGTCATTTTGATTAAAACTCAAAGTTTTCAAGCCCTTTTCATAATTTTTCTAATTTTAAGTGATTAAAAGTGCAAGTGGCCCTCTACTACAATAATGAAGATGAATCATTGCATCACAACTTGAATTCGAATATAACCATATATAATGTAGTACTTTTCCATGAAGCACCACGAAGCACTTGAATTCTAAATAAACATTTTGTTATGCTTCTAACAACAATTTTGCTACCAAGTGTGATTATGAGCAGACTTATACATTACTTTCTGCATAAGCAATCCACCAATTCCAAACGGGTTCTTAAAAATGAGAATATTGAGAACGGATGTGTTATTTGCACATCCGTTTTTACTTTTCACACATCTTTTTAATTTACGGTCGTCCGATTGAATGAATTACTGAAGATCAAATAACAAGAATTAAAAAAAGGTGTGTGAGAAATAAAAAAAAAGTATGAATAGCACATCCCTATTGAGAATCGTTTTTGCTATTTCAAAACACTTTTTTATCTTTTTATTGATGAACAAAAACACAAAAGATGTGTTTTTATTATTACAACAATAATTTTACACTAAGGGAATGGTGAGTTCGTTTAAGCTATACAATAGGAATCTAATTCGGTATCAAATTCGCCATGAACGAAATTCAAATTTAAAACCTCTCACTTATAAGTAAAACGAAAATTAAACGTAATAGTGAGTGACCAAAAAATATGTTTTAAAAGGAACACCACCGGAATTCTAGCTGCTTCTGAAAAGGTGGACTCAGTTACTCACTCATTTCACACTGGAGAGGGAGGAGGAGAAAGCGAAGGGTGGCAGAGGGCATTGTCGGACACAGATGCGATGCAAAGCAAAGCCAGACGAACAGGTACATGCATTTCGACATGATTACACACGTGGCAAAAAGCCAATAATCAATCAATATCCATGTGGGGTTTGCTTGCTTACGCCCACTCTTCTTCCTTCTTCTAGCTTCTCCTTTGCCTTTTCCTATTAAGTACCCAAAATAGATTAAACAAAAAACAAGACTGAAATAAACAACTCTACAAACCCTTTTAGGGGAACGGGTCTTTATTTATTGAAAAAAATGGGGATTAGTTGTAAGACTCACTCCATGTCAAATTTCAATTATCCGAACCATGTATTTTTGTAAGTCTTGATTCATAGATCATTATTACAAAAATTCGATTCAATTCAAAATCATTTACCTATTTAATTATCACGATAAAATTTCAATGTTTCTTAAAGAACAAAGTGTACATCAATTTCTATGAAGTCAATTAAATGCCTCAAATATTTCGAATTTGGCTAATATTTTGTAAGGCTGATCTATAAGGTACAACTTAAAAAATAGACGGTTCGAATATTTAAAGTTCGATGCAGTTGTGGGCCCAACAATTAATGACACACCCCGATCAAGATCAGGGTATGCTGGCTGCCACGTGGAAGTGACGTAGCCATGTGCACAGTGCGGAAGCTAATAAAATAATAATAAAAGTAGTACGAATAAATAAAAACCAACCGCTTAACACAAGGTAACAACATACATGTGTGAGCAAAGTGTGAAAACAACGTTCAGAGCACGAAAACCTAATGCAGTCCGGGAGAAAATGACACAACAAAAGTACACCCGAAGGTGGTCCTACACTGGTGACAGTCTGTCAAATATGTCGGGGACGTCCTCAGGGAAAACCACCAAACGTGCTAGCCAACTAGAACCTGGAGGGGCGCAAAACAAAAGCTTGAGTGGGCAAAAACAAAGCTTTTCAAAAACCATTTCATAAATAGGTTCTAACCCCTTGCCGTAAAACCTGTATACTTCCCAGAAAATATAATATACATATAAATAAGTCATGCTCAGAAACATGCTATGCCAAAACCATTAAGTAAAATGCAAGTGCTCAGGTAATAACAAATCAATGTCACGTAATCTGTCAGCCGGAGTCACCTAACGTGACCTGTACGGCTGAATCTAGAGCTCAATCTCCATCTCACTAGCTATACCTGCACACGAGTCGGAACCACCTAAAGTGGTCTATACGACAGGCCTGGGTGTAATATAAGTACGCTCAAGTGCTACGATCACGTGAAGGCTGGGCGAATAATCGCGGGTCACCTACGAGTCGGAACCACCTAAAGTGGTCTGTACGACAGGACTGTGCACCTAACTTGGATCCAAGATGAGCGTGTGGTGCGAGAGGTGAACATCACGTGAAGGACTGTGCCCAACTCTAGGCAGGAGCACTAACACCGGGGGTGCAGGTTATGAGCTTTCTATGTATCTAGAATCACTACTGAATATAAATATAAATCATACTCACCTGGCACTTACCTGTGCACCCACAGCGCCAAACATATATACATATATGCAACTAATAATGCGTAAATGATGGCAAACAATAAACATGGCATATAAACGAATAAACGTTTCAAAATCAATTTCTGGGAAAACATGAGTATATAGGTATATACGGAAAACCAAAAGCCCACTCACTGGAGTGTAGAAGGGTCGTAACCCCCTTGCCTCGAGTGACCACGCTCGTCCTCGGGATAGGTCTCACCTATATGCGAAACAACTACAAAAACGTTAATTTTAAAGCACATAACCAACCTTATGAAATAACTTCTCATACAATGCTCAAATGGGGTGTATGAATACATCAACGTGATCTACTCAACCTCAGGAACAACCCTATATTTTTAGAAAAAAATTTCACCGTCGCACGCGCCCCCACACGCCGGCCACGCGTAGGCACATGCCTAGCACGCTGACGGCGTCAGTTAACGCCGTCAGGAATATTCCATTAACTTTAACTGATTCCGTTAACGCCGTTAGGAATATTCTGTCGTCTTCTCCGGCGAGGCTCCGGCGCCGTCGCCGGCGCCGGAAAATCGAGAAAACTTTAAATCGTCCTATCTTCTTCGTTTTTCAACCAAATTTCACAAAATTGGTACCAAATTGAAGCTTGCAACTAGAGGAACAAGTTCATACCACTTTCAAGTGCTTAAATCCACGATATCTTGCCAGGAAAACACCCCCAACTCCGACCCACTTCGAAACTCAAGATCTCGACATCCAAAACCTTCAAACGAACCACCCCGAGCCTCCTAAGGACCTCA